AGTAATATACTTTAATATTCAGTCTTTTTCCAAGGGATTTCATAGCCAAATATAGGAAATAAATGTGAAAATAACTAATTATAAGTCAATGAAATAAGTATACATATTACTATATTAGCACAGAGGAAGAAGTGGGGTGAGGTTATTTTGATTTCTTAACTTTGTTTTTGGTGGCAAAGGAGAGGAACGGCATGTCTGGAAAGGTTTCATAAGAGACAGGATACTTATTGAGGAACTTGAAATTTGAGTAGGAATTTGCTTGGTGAAAGGGAGAAAGACATTCTGAAGACAGACGACAAGGAAAAGAACTGAGGTAAAAAAAAAAAAAGTGCAAAATGGATTGATAAAACAGCCAGTAGTCAAATCTGGTCCATGGAGCCAGAGAAAGAGGGATGGAGAGCTAAAGAATGAGTTGAAACAGTACAGTGATTATTGGTTGCCAAAGTTTATGGAAGAGCAATGATTTATTCTTCAAAATGTGTATTTTAGGCTTGGAATTAGAAATACTCAGTTCTCATTTTCTTGGTTTCCCTCTTTGATTGTCCTCCCGTCCCCCTGTGTTTTATGGTGTTTTAAGCTTTAAACTTCAAAATAACATTGATTTTGATTAGCATAAATATCACATACACACTTTGTTTCCCATAGTTTTGGAAAACTCCTGTGTCATATGAAACCAATCAATTCAACAGCTAATTGTAATACTGCATATTCATTTAGTCGTTTAATTGTCTCTACTGAGATGAAAAGTTTCTATATTCAATTGCAACATTAAATCTTCTTTGAAAACATGTGTTTTTATTTTTTATGAATTTATTTATTATTTGTTTTGGGGTGTGTTGGTCTTTGTTGCTGCCCGCAGGCTTTTTCTAGTTGAGGCAAGCAGGGGCTACTCTTCGATGTGGTGTGCAGGCTTCTCATTGCAGTGGCTTCTCTTGTTGCAGAGCACGGGCTTTAGGCGCTTGGGCTTCAGTAGTTGTGGCACGCGGGCTCAGTAGTTGTGGCTCACGGGCTCTAGAGTGCAGGCTCACTAGTTGTGGTACATGGGCTTAGTTGCTCTGCGGCATGTGGGATCTTCCTGGACCAGGGCTTGAACCCATGTCCCCTGCATTGGCAGGTGGATTCTTAACCACTGCACCACCAGGGAAGTCCCAAAATGTATTTTTATAATTATACTGTAATAGAACTTTAAACTTCTTTATTTTAAAGTTTTTCATAAAATAGAATATTTATATGCTTATAAGACTCAATGCTTTGCCTCTTACAGAAGAGAGAAAAATTATCTATTTAGTCAAGATGTCCTGTTTTGTTTTTTAATCATGGTCCTATTAACTTATTACCTGCAGACATTTTTAAGAAGATAATAAATTTAATTACTTCTGCTGAAATGAATATTCATAATCATTTTTGGCACTATCAAATTGTCCCCAGCAAATTTACCATCGAGTTGATAAAGTACCAACACATAGGAACTTTAAAAAATAATATACTGATTAAATAATTCAGGGTTGTCCCCCTAAGATTATCTATGATTATTAAAATTACTCTTAGATTCAGAACCTTAGAGTGCCATTTGGATTGAAGAAAATGGAGGGATTTGAAAGGGATAGATTGATTAGAGTTTCAGTGATATTGGAAAACAGGGTTATAACTTGCAAGACAGACATACTTTAAGGTATTGAAGAGAAAAAAAAGGCAGGTTCAGGCCGGTGAGGAGAGGCAGCCACTTAGTTATTAAGGATGGAAACTAATCCTTTATGGAAAATCCAACTATACCTTAATGTCATCTTGCACTTAAGAAGGAAACAACCCAGAAAAGTGGCCTATAAAACATTTAAACTGTTGTTTGAAGTCACTGTACTATGTGTGGTGTTCACCAAAACGGCCACTGGAATTTCACCACAACATTCAGCGTATTGTTACACTGTTTATAAAACCAAGGCATAGTTACACTTGAACCATTAGAAGATGTGGAAGTCAGAAAGGGAAAGATAGAGGGATGTACCATATAAACTTAGGAAATAAAATTGGGAAAATTTCTCCAATGTTTTGTTTACTTGTATATGTTTATAAATCCTTTGAGGGCAAGGGAAGTATCTTCTTCACTGTAATGTCCCTAGCATTTAATGTAGTGCCACACATAGCGAGGATGAATATATAACTAAATAGTGATATTTTTGAGGGTTGAAGGGGCACTAAATGCACCAGACACTGAGTCTACCGTTGGCAACTGGGACTCTTCCAGGTAAACTAGGATGTATGGTCCCACTACACATAGACATTCAATAAGTCTTTTAGGGGGAGAAAGGAAGACAGGCATCAAAGTCTGAAGTCCAGTTGTCAAATGGGAATATAATATAAATCTCCTTTCTCATCCAACAGTAGCAAAGAGAGAAGGAGAGTACACAACTTCACTCTAAGGGTTATATATTTGGAAAAACAGTACATTGCATATTTCCAGTTTAATGCACATCTTTGTCATGGATGACTTTAATGATAGGATATTGAAAGCTAGTAGGAAATACATTGAGCATTTTCAAAAATGTCTTGCATCACGTGACTAAGGAGATATTTCCTGAGACAGAAAATGTTCTACCATTGCTAGAAATATTCCAAGATCTATTAAGTAAGCTGCTTGTAGATTTTTTTTTACTAGAGCAGGGTATGTGAGCAAAACATAAAATGATTCACAAATATAGCCCTAAAAATTACCTTTCTCTTTCCTTTCTCTTCTTTTGAAACCCCCTCTTCCCATTTAGACATAAAGGTTGGTGCTTATTCTTGTGGCTTTACACAGTAAGCCAAATTTTATAGCTCGCAAACTTCATAATGGAAAATAATCTAATTTGGGTTTATCTGCAGTAAAATAACTTTGACTTCTTTTGAGTGCCGTGAGTCTAATGTCACCAAATGCTTTAGTTTGGGCACATTTTAGTTGACAAGAGATTTATGACTCTGCATATTTATCTACAGTTCCATCTTCAGAATAAACTAGCAGCCTGATGGAAAATTACAAATAGTTAAGGAATTGAGAATGCCATTTTTGGTTTGTGAGCAGAGGACACCTTTTGCTTTAAATCTCTTGCCCATTATCCTTCATCTTCTCCTTACCCCTGCTAAGAGAATGAAAGCAGAAAGACTGGTCGAAAAGGAAAAAATAAGGATATCCATGTGTGGGACTTAATAAAGTGTCATCTCTGTATCTCTTTTATGAAAAATATTTTGAAAATGAATAGATATCTTATTTATAAACAGCTGTACAGAAATATGATAGTGTTGTATAAAATCCTTACACTGAATTCTTTGAGAATTGTCATTTAAAAGTATATGATAAATAAAAAAAAAACTATTCTATAGGAGAGGAATAAGAATTTTTAATATGGTGGGATTAGAAGGGAAAAAGACTATTTTCATTTTATATCTCATTGCAAAAAATTAAAAAGTATAAAGTTTCAGTAAAACAGAAATTTATATAAGACATGATTGTGTGTAAAAGTACAACATTAAACCTCACTTGAAGTTTAAGAGGAAATTTCATAAATACCTTGGTTTTTTTTTAAGAATAACATTTACCCTTACATAGGTCACCTATCAGTTAGAAAATACTGTTTTGGGGGTTATTATAGCTCTAGATGCAAATCTTCATTATTATAAATCACAATTCGATTATTTTATGAATATTTTAAAAGAGTCAGCAGTAATATCCATGGGATCTTTTTATTTTGACTACCAGTCTGTTTTTCTGTAGCTCCTCTTAAATTCTCTCAGGTTGGTTTATAAATCAAAGGACATATGCATTTCAGTTTTTTTTTTATTTGCTCTAAGGATCTTTTAAATTCATTTTTGAAATAACTTGAAATTTGACATAGTGCTGATATCAGTTCTGTCATCTCTCTCCCTTAAAGAAATTTTTCTGAATGTAACAAATCATACTGTATCTCATTCCAGAGCTTATCCTGAGCAACCAAAACTTTTGCCAGCCTTGTAATTTATATTTACATATATGGTATACAATAATATACAAAATAAGTGTATACACATATTTATGTGTGTATTTTATATATATACACATATATATTTGTGTGCATTTATATGTGTATATGTGTGTGTGTATATATATATGTATGCAGTTATAACACATATATAAATCCCACCATAAGTGTTTGGCAGAATACAAGGAAAATGTTTTCATGATGGATTAGGTTTCTTCAGTAGATCCTTAATTAGCCATGTAATCCTACATAGTAATTATCTTTTATCAGGCTCAGATAAGAAAGATATTTAATAAACTGGAGCATAGCTGTGGACAATTGCCTGAGGCATGATTTTCTAGTTTAAAATGAAGTGTGCTTTTTAAAGTTAGTAAGTATGTGCTTTCATCAACATAAAGTTGAATGCTTATGATTGTTGATGTTGCATACCTCTGGCTTGTAGGTAAATTAGAACTATAAATATACCATTGCTAACTGGAAGGAGAAAAAAAAAAAAAAAAAAGTTAATTAAACCCAGAAGTTCCCTGGGCCTTAGGATCTATCCTGGGTCTTCACTTTACTGGAACAAATGCATATATCTGTATATGTAAACAAATTTGTGGTGTAATTATTCTATTTGTGACTGTGTTGTTCCTTATTTAAGTATCTGTTATACTTTCTGAACAATTAATAAATGCAAGACAGATTTAATATCACTAGACAAAATGATTTTGTTGAATTTAATAGGAAAAAATCATTCATCATGTGAATAATTTGTGATTCAGGAAATGAAGTGACAGCTCTGAAGGTAGAAAATAAGTTGTGGCATAGCTTTTAATGAAAAGCTTTGTTTAATAATTAACCATGTTTGAAGTAGTAACAAAACAGAAAATTAATAAAGTATGTTCTCTTCATGGAGAAACCAAATCTCATTCAAAATGTAAATAAAACTAATTTATGTGGATTTAATGTCTTTATTTGAAGTACTATGTAAAAAAAAAATGATCGTCTTAAACTTTATTGTCATTTCAGAGTATCTGACTGTATTCTCTCAGATGATTGCATTCCATGATCCAGAGTTAAGCAATCATCTCAATGAAATTGGATTTATTCCAGATGTAAGTACTTGTTGCATTAATAGAAATGAGGTAAAAAAAATAAAGCAGAAATCGGCAGCACAACAAAGTACTGTTTTAAAAGTTTTGTTGTCCTAAGAAGTCCATGTATCTAAACAAGTTCCTGCTACTAATTATAGTCTTTTGTTATAAAGTTTGTGTGGTTACCTTCCATATTCTCACTTTAAGTAAAGGGGAAGTATCTTATTTTTCTTGATACTATCAAATTATTTTTAAAACCCCAGTAGTGTGAGTGTTGTATTAAACTGTGATGTTAGCAGTTTTCACTTGGATTTTTTGATATTCAGGCCTGTTTTTGAAGAAGTAGGAAATTTGAACTTAGTAAATTCTTAAGTAGCTGCTTCTGTGTTTTGCTTGATACATTACCTTGGAAACTTTGCCAGATTTTGGCTTACTTCATTAGCTTCTTAGGTTCCTTATCAAACCAAAAGTCAGAGTTGACTGTCAAAGGTTAGCCAAGGTATAGCTTAGCCTATTACTCACATGTAGTATGTGACATGGACTCAAACCTCTTTTAAAAGACAGCTGGAGTACAGTATCACAGGACTTTGTAAAACAAAACAAAACAAAAAATAACCTTTTTGAGATAGCAATCTCCTTATTCTATCTTAACCTTCTTTGTTTCCTGATCATACCTTTCCTCTTAAGGCTTATATCCAGAAACCCATATGTTGATGGTAAGACTAGGGGTGAAAAATGTTTATATTAACACTATACTAATGCATTTAAAGTGTTAACAGTAACACTTACAGTATAAATACTTGCAGGGTGCTTTGAAGTTTAAAAGTACTTTCACAAGCATTTCATTTGATTCTCAAGACAAATCTGTAAGGTGTATGAAGCAAGTAATTTCAGCATTAGTAGATAAGAAATTTATTGTTTGAGAAGGTAACAAAACTAAATAGTCTCAGAACATAAACCTTTAACTTATGTCATTTGACAGCCCTCTGCCCCTAGTCTGGTTCATCTTCCAGTGGGAGAACAGAGACTAAAACATAGGTGTACTAATTCTAGTTCATTGCTCTGTGTGTTGCACTGTAATTCTGTGATGTCATCGTCAGGCCTAAAGTAGCCATCCTTCATATATACAGTGGTATTTGCTTCTAGGCCTATGGAGAAGCACCTTTCATTTGAGTACATGGCTTGCTCAATGAGGGCTCCAAAAAATATATATACATATTATAAAACAAAATAAGATCAAACCCTATAATTATGTATAGAGATAGAAAACTTTGTAAAAATTTAACCAGTATATATATTATCATATTAAGTATTCATTTTTACATAACCCTACCTTTCCTGCTTCACATTATGAATGTGAGATATGGCATAAGACAATACTAGATTAAATCTTATGGCTAGAGTTGAAGAAATTATAAAGGAACTGATTGCCGAGTTGGTAATTGTTTTAGGTTTCTGAGGGAAAAAATACTATGATATAGACTTAAAAAAAAGGATAATTCTTTTTAAAAAATTCCCTTGAAAGCACCTAATTGTGCTCAGTGACTAAACAGAAAACTACACTGCTTTAGTTAGAGTTTTAGATTGAGAAGAATCATTTATGTAGAAAAATATGTATGGAATTATAAAGATAGTCTGATAAAATCCTTAGACATATTCATGAACATAGTATTAAAAAATCACATATGGAAAAATGATTTATCTTTGCTTAATCAGAAAAATTAAACTCTGTAAGTGTATGGTATATGAGAAGAGGCAAGCAAAAAAACATTGTTAAAAAATAATGTGGACATATATTAAGTGCTTACTGTGCACTAAGCACTGCTCTAACCCTCTTTAAGCACTCCTCTAATCCTCACAAGTGTGCAATCTAATTAAACAATGACTATTAAATATTTATACATAAAATCAATTTGGGAAAGGCTAATAGCATGATGGAAGTAAAATTCTAGGTAACAATAACATGAAAGGTAAGAGTCAGTGGGATTTCAACTTAAAAGTGTTCTAATGATTTTGTATCATTTGAGGGGAAAGTAAATATGTTCTTTATATTTAGACATCAAGTCAGGCATCCTTTCAGATCTGGGATTTGATTTTACCCTACTCAAAAGCTAATAAATGAGCCTGTTACTGTTTCATGGATATTGGCAGAAAATCCAAGAATCCTGTGTCAGAGACAAAGGACTTTCTCACTCACAGCACAGCAAGCAGCATGAGCATTAGCATATTTGTCTTGATTTCCCTTGCTTCCAAATCCCATAGAGACGACACAGAGGGTCCAAATGATACCTGCATAATGCAGTGGATTGCATTATAGGAGAGGAACTCCGAGTTTAGGGAACTTGATTTTTTTTTTTTAATGGATATTAAACATATCTTCCCTTTACTCTGGAGAGAGAAAGAAAGAGAGAGAGAGAGAGAGAGAGAGAGAGAGGCTATCTTTTTCTTCTGAGGCTATAAGAAAACCTGTCTGTTGCTGCAAAACGAGTCTCTATCTCTGTTTACCAAGGCTATTTTTGTACAAACATTGTTGAAACTATACTGCAGAACAAAGGGCAGTTAGTGTCTCTGCTCACAAGAAATGTAGAAGTACAGGAATGCATATTAAAATTTTAATGGTACTCACTAAAAGAACAGAAAGAAAATGTATAACTTTTAAATGGAATGGGGGAGTGTGGAACAAAGGAAAGTCATCCACCCTTTTAAAAACATAGAGAAAACACAGAAAGAGGGTAAGCTAAGTAGATTACCGAATAAAGGAAATTTTTGGATATTTTAAAAAATCGATCTATATGCTGTTTATAAGAGACAAATGTAAAAATTTAAGGATATTGGTCAAAAAGGAAATTTAAAAAATAGGCAAATATTAACCAAAAGAAAACTAATGCAGTGATATTAATATAAACTAGTAAAACAGAAAGCACAAAATAAACCCATCCAGGTATGGAATTTGGTATATGACAGAAATGGCTCTATAAGTCAATTTGAAAAGATTATTCAATAAATGGCCCTGATGCAATTGGGTAACTATATGGGGGGAGGTAGGAATCAAAGCCAACCTCACACCATACATAAAAATAAGTTCTAGCTTGCCTAGAAGACATACATATGGAATGTCGGATTTATAATTTCCATCTAGGAAGGAATTCTTACAGAAGTTATAGAAAGTACAAAACATAATATTTAAAGAAGAGAGAATTAGAATTGAGGAACGGTAGAAAGGGGCTTTCCATTATATTGGAATCTATAATGTACTATTTTGCTTTAAAAATTTTTCAAAGCATTTGTGACAAAATGTTAGTTAATGTTTGTTAAATCTGAGTGGAGGGTACTTTAGTGTTTGTTAAATGTGCTGCTATATAAGGTGAGTTAATTATTTAATAATTCAATAATTTTGATATAATATCTTTATTCTATTTAGCTTCCCTCTCCATTATGACCCTCTCCTGTAATTACTGGGGTATTTTTGTATAACTTCTTGTAAAATCTTCAATACTAGTAATGTGAAAGTAATATTGATTCATATATATATATAGTGTGATTAGTTTTATGTGACATTCATAAGTCACATGGAGTGGGGGACAGTTCCTTGTGGGTTGAGAATGTCCAGTATGTGGCAAATACTGAGCATCCCTGGCCCCCAGCCACTGATTGTCTATAATAATCCTCTAATCATTGTGACAATAAAACACCTACGCATTATTTCTGAAAAATGACTCTACATGTATTTCCAAACATCCTCTAGGGAACACTTCTATCACTATTGAAGAGTCCTAGAGTTAACAAAAGAGAAGTTAGGGGAAAGAGAATATATCTTAACCTGGAGGAAATTCCCTTTTCTCTGACTGTTCCTTTGCCATGGAGGAAGGCAAAAGGAAAGATATTTAACACAGTTAAAATGTTAATAGGAAGATTGTTTTTTGAAATCTTGATTTTTTTGTGTGTGTTTTGTTGGCCTGTTTCTCAAGTTTGGAGATAACATGAAAATGTTGAGACTATTTTTAAATTTAATTTTGCAAAAAGATTTGATGTTTTTAACGTAGAGATTATTGACAATGAATAGTGGTGGGAGAGGTATGATGAAATGGAGAATTTTTATAACAGTTTTCTTATTCTATTAATAATCACATATTTTTAGTTACATGTCAGTTTGTATGTGCAGTCTTGCTTTCTTTTTTTTTTCCCGAATTATTGCCTTCAGTGTTCTACCTTTAAGATGATTGATATGTTATACAGCAGAAACTAACACACCATTGTAAAGCAATTATACTCCAATAAACATGTTAAAAAAAAAAAAAGATGATTGCTTAGGTGACTTTCTGTACCTCCAACAACAATACAGGCTAGGATTCATCAAGGGCAAATGTGGACACTTTGGTAATGAGATCCCAAACTGAGTTTCCTGCTCAATAACTAATCCTATCAAAGTAAGCCCTCATTAATCTTCCATCATTAAAATGCAGACTACTATTGCAGGAAAGATTGTGATTTCTGGCTCCTTTCCATTTGCCGTGGGTCACAGAACTCTGAATACTGAGTTTATTTCCATTTCTCTAGGATGTGGGTCTGAATACTGAGTACTGCTGAAGCTTGAATAGTTAGGCATATTGTGATGCTTAGATTATATATATTATGGTAGTTATGCGATTTACATATAAATAGGGTGAATAGTGTGTATTTGGCAAAATTGGGGCCAGAGTGATTTTTATCATTTCTGTCTTGGTGTATGTTCTGCTTCTGAAAACATACCAGGCCTTTGAAATGAGAACAGGAAAGTATGCTTCTTCATTCTTAAGGAAACTATTTTTCTGAAATGCTATAAATAGCATTCAACCTGCAAATTATGAAAAGTTGTCCGGTGGCCAGTAAGAGAAATGATAAGGGCTGTATCTCAGTACTATATGTGCCTCTTGAACCTACTGTCTGCTAAAGATAAAGCTAACAAATTCAGTGATAAGCAAGTCTGCTGGCAAAACTATTGTCATTTAACTACAGTCTTAATGGATGCTTATATTACTACT